CCCCCCCCCCACTTCGATTTTTTCTGTTTTTCTTCTTTTCTCTTACTTTTTGATTTAAATTTTCTCCGTTCCTCCAAAAATTCGAATTATCTTCTTCCCTACTTCTTTTCTCATCTTTCTGATTTATTTTATTTTTCTTTATTTATTTTAAAAATTCAAATTTTTCTGCGGCATCCTAAAATCTGATTAGGACTTAGCCATTCTTGTTTTTGACACACATTTTAACCCCCCGTGGGGGTAACGAAGTGCTGCCGAACCCCCGTGGGGGTAACGAAGTGCTGCCGAAATTTGTGAAAAATCCAAAACTTGGTTAGTTTCTCTTTACTCTCCTCCACCTCCTTATTTATTTATCTATTTATTTCTTTATTTACTTATTTTTCTGGAAATTTTAATTTGCGGCATTGTAAAAATTAGTGTGCTTCTCTTAGTCTCTCCTTTCTCTTTGCACATTTTGACCCCGTTGGGGTAAGAAAATGCTGCCAAAATTTTCAAAAAAATAAATAAGTCCTCTTCCCTCGCTCTTTACATTTTATTTCTTTATTTATTTTTATTTCTTCTTTTATTTTATTTTTATCTCGGAATTTTATTGTTTATTCTATTTTCTTTTCCCCTCCTCTCCATATTATCTTTTTTCTTGATTAGGTCGCCGCTACACTCCCCTAACCACCTAAACTCCGGTTAGGGTTTTCTTAGGGTTTTCTAGGGTTTAGGGTTCTCCTAACTCCCGCCCCCCTTCCTGCTTTCCCGCCTCCTCCCGTCGGCCACCCTGGACCTGGACGGTTCCTCCCCCCTCGAGCGGTTCGGCGCCTTCGTCTCATCCGCGACCCGGAAAATCCGAGGCGAGCCGACTCACACATACTCACTCCGCTCCCGCGGTCCCCTTCCTCTTACTGGTGGGCCCCTTTCCCCACACACTCCTTTGAGGACTACCTCCATTCCCCTTCCGGCCATGGAAGGGAGTTCATCCGAGGAGATCGCCGCGGCGCAGTCCACACCCCAGGTCAGCGTGCCGTCAGCGGCTCATGATCAGGCCCATGCGGACACGATGGACCTTCATGCCGTCCTTATAGCAATCCAGGCACAACTTAGTACGCTTGGACCGTTGGAAGCGCAAATCAATGCGTTAGCCCTCGACGTCAACCGCCTCAAGGGCTCCCCTCATCGCTCTCTCCACCGCTCTCACACCCCTTCCCCTACCGGCTTCGATTCCGACTCCCCAGGACTCCAGAGACGGAGTCACCATGGTTTCCCCTGCTCTGCGGGCCATGCCCATCACTCCCCCTCAGCAGTGGCGAGTGCTGCTGCCGCTCAGACCACCCCGTCCGTTGCGGCAGTTCTTCTGGCCACGGCCGCCCCTACCGTCTCTACTACTGCCGTAGGTGCTGCGGTCCAGGTACAACCATCTGGCCGCGCAGTTTTATCGACCTACCCCGGTGTTGCTTCCCAGCTTCCCGCACCGGTCGCGGCAATACGGTTCCGCCCTCTTCTTCCTGCCTTCGTCCCCCCACCCCCACAGCAGGGTACCGCCCAGACTGGGATTCCTCCTCCTACTGGGCGACCCGCTCCGCCCCCTCCACCTCCAACCTCGCGCACCCAGCGAGTGGCCACTTTACAGGCCACCATTGCGCAGGCTCAGGCGGAGATTCTCGCTCTGAGACAGCCTCACCCATCACAG